CTACTACTACTACTACTACTACTACTACTACTACTACTACTACTACTACTACTATCTCCTCCTCCTCGTGATGCTGCTGCTGCCGCTGCTGCTGCTGCTGCAGTGCCACCTCATTGACGTGAAACGTCTACTACAAATGCACAAAAAAGCTAACATGCAATGGTGGAAATCACCAAACACGTCTGTCCCTGCTTGTTGATGAATCGACAAAAAACGAACCCGAAAGCCACTAAAACACCACCAGCCCTCCAACACAAAATCACGACCACTGACCGCTGTAATGCAAGGGTTCTTGAGTTTCATGCCACGGTGAATGTCTGTGCAACCCTTTCCAAGCGGTCATGGGGGGGTAGGGAACAAGGGATAAGATCGCTTAAGCTGTTAGTTGGACGAAACAAGGTGAATGGGACGACTTGCAGGAAAACTGTCTGAGGGGAGTGCTTTCAATTAATCTGGCGGCCATTCGACCTATGTTGTTGGAAGGTCGAACGCCGCTGTCAAGAATCGTCCTTCTCTTCTGCCCTTTTTGCAGCAACGAAACAAGTTCCCTTGAAGGGACCAGAAAGTACAGTACAAGACGGCGTGACAATGTCCGGTGTGACGCCAAAGTGTGTGAAAGGAAGGTCTTCTTGCCGGTACAAAATCCCAAGCCTCAGCAGTTGTCGCCTGTGATTCTTGTCTTCCAACCCCTCCGAAAGCTGAGCTGCCCACGTTCCTTTCTGACCGTGCCGTGAAGCGAATTTGTCTCCGACCTGCAACCGCTGTAAATAAACGGTTCCTTCAATCATCGCGTAAAACTGGCCTCTGGAATTTTGAGTGTTCGCAACCGCACTTTCGTGAACTTGTACCTCAGTGACAGCTTCACAATTACAAAAACCAAACCCTGTTGATGCCTACTGAAATTTGTTGCTGAAATTGCACTGCGGCAATGACTTGGCGGGGATGTATATTTTATATAGCTCTTTCGTGCAAAAAGCTATGCACGCCGTTGCATTGCATGGTCTCTTGCTTGCTCTTCCACATCTTCCATTGCTTGGAGCTGATTTCATAACAAGTCCGAGGATCGAGGGCAAATCGAGGGTGACGGATGCTTTGGGGAAAACAGGAAGTTGTGGGATCCGCTTTCTTGGAAGGATTCAGGCGGCAGGCACGGTGATTGCTCCAGCAGGTGCGGCCGCGGGGTTTCTTGGTTGAGCAAGAAGCAAGTTCTTGGGGCGCCTCTACTTCAAGAAGGACGCACCAAAATGCTTGTTCACCCCTCAAAGGTATTGGTGAAATGAGGCAAAAGGAAGGCTGGCAAGGCAACAGGGGCCGAATGAAATTACAAGGATTTTTGGTGTAACATTGTGGTTCCACTGCCAAAGGGCCATGGCCAATGTTTTTGTTTTGATTGCTTGCAAGGTCTTGATTGTGTAATAGTATTGGAAATGCAGGCCTGCTGCAAGACCTGGCAACATGGAATGTAGCGTGGCACATCAAAGCACATTTCGAAGAAACCATTTGCTGTATGGTTGCAGTTGCTAAATAATGCTTTTGCACAGGCTCATCTTCTGAACTGTTGATGGGAAAATGTCATGCGACTAAGGCCTTGTTCAACGAGATTTCAACTGGGGTCAAAGGACCGAAGGATCCCAACACGAGTCCGAAGGCTTCACTGTTTCAATTGAAGTCAAAGTTTTTGGGTGTAGGCTGTAAGCTTAAGTAGCTAGTAAGGTGGAAGTGCCAAATCAAGCTAAACAAGGACGCAAAAAAAGTTCAAACTTCTTCAAGGAAGCTTCTCCCTTCAGCCCTTCGGGGGAGCTTCCTTGAAGAACCGCTTAAGGCTTAAGGTTCTGGCCCTTCTTTGTTCAGACTAACCATGACCTGGTCCACCACACCAGTTTCGGCTGTCCGGCAACAAATGGAACTGTCCTGCGCCAGCATTTCCATTGCACAAAATGATCAGAACCGAGGCCATTCACCAACACAAGAAGAAACTCCAAATTAGTATTTTGCCTCCATCCCTACTAGGGTGGAGGCCATTGCTACTAGGGTGGAGGTGATCGCTATTAGGTTGGAGGCCATCGCTCCTAGTAGCAATTATAATCGAATTCGTATTGTATGGAGTTTAATTGAATCTCTTGGCTCCTTCCGGTCGAACTTCTGTGGACCTACTCCATCATCCCCTTGGCGAGGATAGGATAGAGCATCAGTGCACAGCAACAAAGTGACTGAAACATTTCTCATGTTCATTCTGGGTTCCTTCAAGATTTAAATGCAAGCCTGAAAGAACCATTTGAGCTTGAATTAAGCTTCAGCGGTAGGTCGGAGTGCATCCAAGGTACTGATCATGTCTGGTGGAAGTGCTGATGTGCGACCAATGAGCACATCATCACCTTCATTCAATCGCATGTCTTCTAAGCAAATGAATGCAATTGTCTGAGAGATCAGATCGTTTCCGCTTTACTTACCCCCTTCAAGGCCCAGGGTTGTCTGTGTTACAACACTTATTGGCGCAGTAAAACCTTCGGCGTGCAGCACTTTGGGTCAATGCTCAAGCTACGACGATGGGGCCATGTAAGTGATATCAATGCATCTGAACAATGGCACCATGAGGTTAAAATTTAAGGTCATGTTCTGGTTGAAGGAAATTATGGGTGTGGCAAACTTTCAGCGAAACAGGCTGTCAAGTTCCCTTCGATGACCTCAACAATGCGCACCTAAAACACGTCCTCCAGCTGGGATTGCTAGACCATCGTGATCTAGCTGCTCGTAGCCTGAACAAGGACACATGCGAAACCATGCATTTGAGTTATTTATTGGAAACAGTTGTTCTGCTGTTCTAAGGATTGAACTAATTTTTAAGCCGACGGTCCTAAAATTTTTTGGCTGGCAAAACCTGAGAGGAAAACATCTTGAAACGTGTTTCAGCCTTTTGCATCTCTCTGCTATCCACTTTCCAAACTGTTTCGAAGCCGCAGCGGGTGCAACCAATGCATGGTCTGAGGAACTCATCCAGCGGTTTCCTTCCTTCCCACTTCTCCTGATCACAAAAACAAGAAAACACAAACAACATCAAACAACACAACTCCAATCGACGACATTTTGGGATCCGCAAAAAAGGCAGAAAGAAACAAACCAAGCAACAGTAAACAACAAACAAAACAAACACACGCACATGTATTGCGATATGGTATAAGCTTATCCAGCAGCTTCGAGCAAGCAGTGTTGGAGTCTTTCTTCTGTTTTCTTATTCGTTCATTGCCAGTGCTGCCATGCTCTGTCTGACCCTGGGACCTTCAAGCCTGGTGCCAGAGACGAGTTGGTTAGGAAGGTTAGGAGGCTTCCTTGGAGGCACTCCGCGCTCTACATACGCATGGAGCCGGTTTTCTCTCAACAGAGGCTGGTCAATCCCCATCGAAAAGCGGCAAGGTCAGCCTCCCTGAGCAAGACCCCGCAGGGGGTGAAAGGTACATTTCTCTGTGCTAGTATTTGGGGCCCCACCCCGGCAATAGCCCCAAGAATATAGGTTTCCGGGGCGACGATCGGCCACACCACCACAATGCAGCAACATAGCGTGATGCAAGAGATGCTGTTCACTGTCGTGGTCCATCTGCCGCCCCGGTAGTGGAGACGACACTCCAGTAGATGATGCAGGTGGGAGTGGGTACTCAAATCTGTATTGCTTAGGTGAAGCTGAAGACAGTGGTCTTGGGGAATCATAGCACTCGTCTCCGCAAGTGACTGGTACGAGGCATGTTCTATAAATGTACATAGTCGCATAACTCTTTCAGCCATGTTCACTTGTCAATAGACAGCCTTTGGACTAGCCGCGTGCGCTACTCTCAGGTAGCGATGATGCAATACCTCCGTCCAAACCACCAAAAATGATCACCTCCGTGGAAAAATAAAAACACCGGCAGGCTAACATGGTTTACAACCCTTTTTCCTCGTCTCCCCCCCGCCCCCCCCAAATAACGAACTTCGTTCGCAGCAGGGCTTTGTGGCCGTGGGCCGAAGGTTTGAACGGCCAAGTTCCCGCAATCATGTCATCTCATGCCTTTACTTTTGCTGGCTGTTGAAGCGTGCGCCAGCCCTGCTCTTGGCCTGTGACCTCGGCCTGCGCTTCTTTGCTCTTAGCTTAGCGCCCTTCAATCCCTCATGTTGGAGAAGACGAAGCTACCGTTCGTTTCTGGGCGTGTCACACACACCCTGGCGTCGGCAAAGCGCTTGTTTGGTGTTAGCTCCAGCAGGACCAGGACCAGTGCATTTTTCAATGCTCTCCCCTCTGGCCTGCCCTGTTCGCAAAGCAAACGCACTACTCCCCCGAATTGTTTTGCGTTGCCGTTGCTCTTCAGAACATGCCCGATTTCCGCTATCATTGTCGTCGCCAGCTTCACATTCTGTCACCTGTTTCAGAACATCGTTGTCAGCGCCACAATCGTGTCATTTCTCTCCACATCTGTCACCACTGTACTGCGTATGCTGTCTCGGCGCATCTCATCAATACATGAACAACGTCAGTGGGGAGGCCCAGCAAACTAGAGGCTGTCGAAAAGTGTTCGTAAGCATCTGCCGCAGGTCGTGAGGATTCACAGCGTGCTGGATGGTTGCAAGCTGCGATTGAGCTTCCATTGCGGGCGCAGGGGGAGGACCTTGCCTGAGTGAAGGGCTGTGGCCTGAACAGCTGGTGACCTTCAACGTCACCATCATCATCATCATCATCATCATCGTCAGCATCAGCATCACCATCGTCATCATCGTCATCGTCATCTTCTTCTTCCAAACGCGCGCCGTCGTCGATGCAGGCGTGGACCCTCGCTTGGAGTCCGCCCAGCGCCGTGAAGGGCCTTAGCCGAAAGCAACATCCAGAAAACTGGCCAAAGTTGTCTCTTTGGCCTACATATATGGCCGGGCGCTGCGAAGCAAGATGTGCGTGATGGCAAATTGCGCACACGTGAGAATCTTGCTTCTCACCGAGCTGCAGCCTCTGGTAGGGCTGACACGCATCCCATTGGTGTGATGAGCACCCCATACCAGGCCTGTGACCACGGAGTTCATGTAGCATGCCGTGTCGACGGATTGTGAAGCGGTGACTAATAGAGCTTCGAGCATCTTCCCCAAATATTGCCAGAGCGGATCTCTGTGCATTGGCCGTCTCAACCTCATGAGGACGATCTGCCAGAGCCCTGTGTGGGCGAGTTGATGCCAAGGTCCCTTCATTTCGGAGGCTGTAGCGATCCTGGGAGTCGGTGGTCAAATACTTCTGGATTTGGTGGTGAGGCCTCAGAGCCCCAAACCTCTTCACAAGCGCCTCTTACTGAAGAAGTGTCAGAGGGACTGTTATCGGTGGTTCGACCTGCTGCTTGTCGTGGTTCCATTTCACCCGAGGAAAGACAGCTTTTGTTGTACTCGAAGTGAAGGATGTCCTAGCTCTACCACGTTGGGAAGGACTTCGTTCACGATGCCATAGTACTCCGGGTGGTATTTGCTGAAGTCTGCTCGACCAGAATACGTAGAATGCAGCGCTGAGTCAGGAAGTAGCGCAGCTCTCGGTCCTGTGCCAGCGGTGCCATGTCTCCAGCGTCGTAGTGCTCCAGGAGCTTGAGACAATTTCTGGAGGAGCATTGGTCGATTCAAAGCTGGGGCGCGCAATGGTCTTTGAGGTTGGTCCAGCTAATAAACGCTTCCCCACAGTCTTCAAATTGGTCGACCGTCTGCTGCATCTCTAGCAGGGTTGAACGCAGGACCTGTGTGATGTATGACTCCGTGAACATAAAGCTGGCGCCGTCGAAGTGTGTATGAATGCTGAAAAGTTTGACCGCGTATGGTGCAGTCCAGACCAGCCTCCGCCAGTGGAAGTGTGGGCTCCATCTCGGCATTTCCAATGACACGGCTGTTGCAAAGGTACGAAGACGTGAAGCCAGCGACGATGACGACAACAACGACGACGACGATGATGATGATGATGAAGGGCTACTAGCGCTCAGGCCCTTACAATGCCCACCAAGACCTTTGGCCAGACCCTTGACGCGCTCGATTACCGGACCCACGCTGGCCTACTTGCTGAACATCAAGGGCAAGCTCACTTCCTCAAAGTGGACCGCCTCGGCACTTGCTTGCGCTTCACTCTCCTCTACCTGGACGTCCTGGTCGTCAGCTTCACGTACCTGGTGACCTTTTTGTACTACCAGGTCTCGACTCCTACCTGCAGGCAACGAGCTTTGACTTTGAACTATGCCCCGTGGCGGCCGTGGTGCTCTGCCTCCTATTTTCCCTCCTCTTCACGCCCTTCAACATGACAGCAGATGCTCCAGCGGGGTTCTGACCATCATCAAAAATCCTTCTGCCCACTACACCGGATCAGCTGGTAGGCTTCTAGATGTTCGACTCTACATTCATAGCCTGGCCGCCATGATTCACTGGCGCGGCCAACAACAATCCTTGGCCGCCACGCGCTTCGTGAAAAGGAAGCTCCAGCGTGCAGTTTTGCACATTCCTTCTGGCGCAACAGAGGGTTTCAAGATTCCCACTGTTGAGAAGCCCGATTATTTGGGAGTTCAAGTTGGGTATAAGCACACACTTCGTTTTACAATGCAGCGGAGACTTAACGCTTGCCTCCTTCGTCGCAAGCAAATGACACAATGGTTTGTTACCAACTCACTGCGCCGGGCTCAGAACTGTCACTGTGGCTTACATGTTCCCAACGGCAATTTATGGACTGGATGTGGTTGGGGTTGACAATACATCCATTCCCACGTTTTCAAAGACCATCCTTCCTCTCCTCAGACAAGTTGCAGGGAATCCATCCTTCTTGACTCATCAGTCACACGTGGACTTTCTATGTGATCAGCAACTCTCATATCCTGTCCTCCTCTTGCGGGAGCGGATGGACACTTGAAATCCACGACATACTTCATCATCTTGACATCCAAGGGCCCATTGAACATTGTTTCTGCTTGGCTTCAGGAGCTTGACTTCCCAGGTCCGAGACAAGGTCCGCAGTGAGGGGGACCCAAAATTGTGTTAGCGCAACGTTGTCTCCAAAGAGCAATACGAGTAAATTGGGTGGGGTGGGTGGGGCAACACTATGATGTCTTCGCAAGATTGTCGCCCATTCCAGAATGTTGAGCAAAGCCGCCAGTTTCACAGCGTTGCTGCGAAGGCAGCTTGAGCCCGTAATTCCCCCCGCAAGTTAGGCCACTTCTGCTCGTCCCAAGCCTGCGCGCACGTCCTCATCATCATCCTCGCCGTCGTCGTCGTCGTCGTCTAGAGCTCCTCCTCCTCCTCCTCGTCGTCGTCGTCGTCGATCAGCGTCATCATCGTCATCGTCGTCGTCATCATCATCATCATCGTGGTTGTGGTTGTGGCTGTGGTGGTTGTTGTTGTGGTGGTTGTTGTTGTATTCAATGTTTACAGGCAACAGCTTGTCAATGCTCATCAGGTACCAAAAGAAGGGCTCATGCCTTTGCGCTCTTGGGGTCGCAGCTGCACTGTTATGGTCCAGCGATACAATTGCAGGGCGCAGGGGCGTTGTCTTCCGACCCTTCCCGGTTACTACAAGACACACAACAATGACCTCAAAGCGCGACTTCCATGGCCTCTGCAGCGTAACACCGGTAGGAGACGGCTCTCATGAATCCACGGTCCACGGACGATTGACCTTTGCAGGATGGACAGGCGGGAGCAAAAGCAAACACATGCACTAAGGATGGCTGGCACCATTGCACAATTGGGCGACCTTTCTTTTCAGGAATTTTTCCGACGCGTTTTAGGATCTTTCTCCTCACTCTTTGTGGTCAAAGGTTGCCACAAAGAGAAAAAAGGAAAGAGAACTAGCGCAGGAGGCAAGGGACAGAAGAGTAGAAGGAAAAGGAGAAAAAGGAAAAGGAGAAAAAACTAGCATAGGAGGCAAGGAACAGAAGAGTAGAAGAAGGAGAAAAAGGAAAAGGAGGAAAAGAAGGAGGTAGAGAAGGAGAAGGAGAAAGAGAAGGAGAAAGAGGAGAGAGGAGAAGGAACAAGAGAAGGAGAAGGCTCTTCCCGCTGCATCACAATACAGTATACACCAGCCATGTGGGAATGGTAGCGCTTACCGGTAAGTCTGAAATATATGTCAACGCATGCATATGTATATCTATGTACGTGCATTGGTATGTATGAATGTATGCATGCATGTATGTATGTATGTATGTATGACTGTGTGTATGTGTGTATGTATGTAGGTACGTACGTATGTGTGCGCTTGGTTGTTTTCTTGGCTGTCAGGATGCGCTGTAGCAACACCGTCGATAAAAGGAGCGGGAGGGGGTGCGGGGGAGGGCACAACGCCTTCCCCGCAAGGAAATTGAGCATCCCCGCGCTGAAAAGCTAATCACCAAGAGTTGTTTGTGTCCAGGTCCTTTCTTCTGTAAAGTGATTGAGGGTCAAAGGCTTTGCAGGCCAGTCGCTTGCAAACTGGTTTGCTGGTTTTGTTTTGAGTGACCTGCTTAAATTTAAAAAAAGCGGGAGGGGGTGCGGGGGAGGGCGCAGCGCCTCCCCGCAAGGAAAGCAACGTATATTGAGCATCCCCGCGCTGAAAAGCCAATCACCAAGAGTTGTTTGTGTCCAGGTCCTTTTTTCTGTAAAGTGTTTGAGGGTCAAATTTGCTTTGCAGGACAGTCGCTTGCAAACTGGTCTGCTTGTTCAGCGCCTCCCCCGCAAAAAAACAAAGTATATATAGTGAGCACCCCGGCGCTGACACAACATCAAGAGTTGTCTCACATGTTGCTTCCTTGCTCCTTCCACCCGTCTTCCCCTGCTTGCTTGCTTCCTTCCTTCCTTTCTTCCTTGCTTCCTTTGCTCCTTCCTCCCTTCCTCCCTTCTTCCCTTGCTTCCCTTGCTTCCCTTGCTTCCCTTGCTTCCCTTGCTTGCTTGCTTGCTAGCTTCCTAGCTTCCTAGCTTCCTAGCTTCCTTGCTTCCTTCCTTCCTTCCTTCCTTCCTTCCTCGAAGACAACAGAACCTGGAAAACATCACGAAACACGTTGGAAAAATAAGTCCACAGAAAATGGGGTTCCTTGCAAAATCCTGGCGCCATTGATTGTTTCACTATGGACGCGATTCAGCAGCCCCCAAAGAGTTTCAGCAAAATATATATGTTTCGTCAACTCTTTGATTTCCAATGTTGGCGGAAACAATTGTAATTAAACATAGCCAAGCCGTTTTTTTGGGAAGAGGGATGATATCAAATTTGAAACGCTGCGTCACTGTTGCATTCATGGCCACAAGAACACAAGCCCGGACAAGGCGGCGAGGGACAAGGCCTGCAAGGGTGTGACAAGAGGGCCGACAACGCGCGCAAGCAGGACACGCAAACCCGGACGACAATGTGGAGAAGAAAGAGCTCGCGGCCAAGCGTGGACACAGGCCTCGACAAGCCTGGACAAGGTGGAGAGAAGAAAGTACCAACGGCCGGCCAAGCATGAGACAAACCCTGGCAAGGCCTGGACAAGGCGTTGAAGACAGGGCCAGGGCCCACGGCTCCGCCAGGCATGACACACAAACTCGGACAAGGTCCGGACAAGCGGTGAAGAAATGGCAAGCGGCCCGGCCACGGCTATGGTGGTCTGCCCGAGCTCCAAATGCTCCAACTGTTTAGGGAAAAAAGTAGATCAAATCTTGCAATCCGGCGTGTCCTTTGAATGTCCTTCATTTCACCACGGGATGTGTTCCGTGGGCTTATCACCCAGGGGTCCACTGGAGTCCACGCCAAGCATGAACAATGTTCTATGTCTGTACCAAGGAGTGTGAGCAGCTATGCGTTGCAACCCAAAGTTGTGTGCAGGACCATCCGAGGCAACCAGGACTCAACTGAGGCCACCACAGAATCGGGAACGCCAAATTCACACAACCCATTGAATGTAAAGCAACTTCGGACATAAGGTACGAGCCTTCTTTTGCAAGCTTGGTTGCAAGTAATGCAAACGCTGCGATGACGGCGCCACCACCGCCACCGCCACCACCACCACCACCACAGCCACCACCACTTCTGCTACCACCACCACCACCTCCGCCACCACCACCACCACCACTATACCACTACCACTGCCACTCCGACAAGTAAATTTCCAATCCTATAGTAGGGATATTTAAGCCTCCTGAAGCAACCATGATCTATCATCTCAATCATTCCTGAAACTCAGCAACATCATGTTTGATTCCAAATTCATTCCAAAAAACGATTGCAGGATTTCTCCAAACATATATCAAGGAGAACATAAATCAATTTTGCACCACAAGTGGTTTGGCCCGATCACCCCGCAGGCTTCTTGAGAATTATTTCCCCATCAGATCATTCGGTATTTGAGCTAGCATCACTCATTGAAGTAACATGTATATAGTATATATATATATAACTATTTATATACAGTATATTTCCTGCATTTTGGAGGCGGAGATGCATCATCTCAATTATCAATATTTCAACCTCTGTGCAATGGCCGAGGCCAAAGGAGAGCACTATAGGGTTTAAGGCCCTGATCCTCAGCAAGACCAATTGTGTGATGTCGTTCCAGCTGATGGTGATCAAACATCGAGCAATTCCTAGCTGGCCGCTGATCTGACTGATAGGTCCAACCGCCATGGATGGCGTTTGCCGAACCTGTCGGCAATTATTCCTTATTAAGCGGTTTCATGGAGATAAACCTACGAATCAAAATGATAGATCCTATGAATGAGCCGATACACGCCACCAGATGTCAATGGAGGTTTCTGATTCGGCTTCAAGTACTTTCATGGGCATCTCAAGATAGGTAATTCCAGGTGAGCAGCTGATTCATGTGCATGTAAGAACCTGAAAACTCGAGCAAGGAGACCAGCATGAAAGCTACCCTTCATGGCGCAAATGTGTGTGCAAAAGTCGACCGCAAAGAGCCCAGCCCAAGAGAGAATCCACCACCAGAGATGCTTTCACTTTCTAATCTGACCAACCCATTCCCATTCAGTTTACTCGGTCCAGACATGTACTGTTTGGCCGTGCGGCCGTACTTCCAAGCAACCTAAATTCCAAGGAATGAAATTTATGTTTTTCTATTCTTGGAGGTGTGCGCACATTTACCATCCGAAGCACCGCGAAAATCGTGGGCGTTCTACGGATCGCAAGCGTTGCCAGAAAAATAATATTCGATCACTTCTGGCACTTTCCCTAAAACGAAAATACTGTGTATCTATGAGTCTATGATTATGAGCATCTGTTTTGTTTTTCTCCGATGAACCACTGAAAGCGATGACGCCCACACGACGATCGTGAAAACACCTTTAAAATACTCCCCTGAGATGATGCTTGTGATGTCGTGTCCCTTGGGGGGGGGGGGGGGGGCTCCCCCCTAATCAATACCCCTTCAATTCGTTAAGGGGGGGGGGGGGAGGGGGTCTATTGATTCACTTCACACGAAGGGGGGGGGGGGGGGCTGTTTGTAGTGATTTTTCAATTGACACCTTCGATTTTGACCAATTTAATCGTAAACTAGAACTTCAGCTGACCTCCTTCGGAGATCGCTTTCGTGATTACCATTAAAAGGTTGATAGACCTCACAAACGCGCGATAAGAGTAGCCTCCGCGGAGTGGGATTCCACTATGAATAAGCCCAATTTAATTAGGTCTCTCTCTCTCTCTATATGGTGGTTGATCAATATTCTTTCATCCTGAAATGGCAAATCTTCGCGGAGCAATTTTTTTTTCGCGGATCTTTCGCGGCCTCATCGCGAAGCATGGTCCTACAACATCCTACAACCATGTCTAGCTAACATGAGCCGGACTGTGTCATACTCAGGGTCACTTGCAGCATCTGTGCGACAATTGTGCCAACTAGAGTCAGGCAAAGCTCAATCTTTCGCGAAATGTAACTGGTGCTTTCCCCGGGAGCCGTAACAGTTGCAAACATCTGCACAGCCCTTCAAAGCAGCTGCAGGTCGTTGCGTCACTGTCAGGGCTGTGCCTACTCAGGTTGCTAGTCTGTGACAGTGGGGACAGGAATCCAGGAATCGGAGAATCCTTTACGCACTGCCAGGCTGGGCACGGAAGTGTTGAGGCTTCAGTTCGTTAGTCTGTGACAATGGGGACATGCGGGGATGCTTCCGCCCACCGGCTCTGCCTGCCTTGTATTGTATTCTTTGTCTGTCGGTAGAAAGGACCAAGGAAAACATATGAAAGCGATGACCTTCGATAAATCTTTCGCGGATGGTTTTAACAAGATCTGAAAGGCAGTTTTATATAGAACTCCTTACACGGGGTTTTAGATCAACTCCCATGTATATATATATATAATCTTAAACCCCTGGGAATTTGCTGTTCCAACTCTGTCGGTCTGTCGGCTCTGACTTTTGACGTGCTTTCTTGGGGTTTGAGTCCAATGGGGCAAGTACCGTTGCCGGTACCGAGATCTTGCTGATGCTATTGCACAATTATGCAAAAGGAAGGCTATGGCTATGGTGCTGGCTCAACATCAGTGAATCCTCTTGGTTGTAGCCTGCCATACAATCAGCAATTCAAAATGAAAAACCCGTGCTTGTAGTTGTCAATGACTCTGTCCACTTTGTGGCCTGTGTAGCACATAATGAAAACGATCGTGTTCACCTTGGATTGTAAATGGCTCTCTCCAACCACCAGTATAGCTTCGCCAACAAGTGAACGCGCCATCGTTTTTTTTGCAAAGCAATATTGATGCTGCTGGCTTGAGTACTTGTCTTTTTGAGAACCAGACTCCAGCAGGCATCTCTCGAAAGCGCAAGTAGTTCATTGAACGTGTACCAACCTCTTGCACGTCTTGCACTGCAAAACAGGCATCTTCAATCTTCAAACACAGTGGTGTTGGAGGAACAAGCTGACCAAACAGCGCTCATGCAAGCTCAGTTCAGAACGAAAGGCTTCATCGGGTAGCACATCACGCATGCAAACCTTGCATACTTGATCAAGCAGAAACAACGCTGACCACATGAACAGCTGCCAAAGCCCAAATGAGACACACACACACACGCACACCTCCATAAGGAAAGCGCTTGAGTACTGAGACTAAAACGTGTCCATGCGCGAGTAGAAGTTGGTCCCAAATACTCCGATTGCTTGCTTTCCCATTGCTGACTGAAACACATTCCTGGCATGGCAGGTCACCATAGGTCACCAAGATGCTTTCAATGCTTTCAGAAATTCTCCCAATCTGAGAATGCCGATTCTAGACTCGGGGATAGCGCAGCAAAGCATTACAGTCTAATCAATCTACAAGAGATTTTGTTTCTCGGAGAACACATGTCAAACCCTTTCTGCGGTCTGTCGATGTCCATCGGCCTTGGACTCATGTTGTGGTCAGGAAATGGAATGATGGATGCCTGCGAACATCTGCAAAACGAGTAAAGAGCAAGGCACAAGTGGCCGCAGTAGCTGCATTACGGAAACACGCAAGGCCAATGAAGCAGCAACTTGGAGAGGGTTGGAGCAGTTTAGCTGTATACAAAGACTCGAGAAACGAATTGAATGGCCTTTCTAAGCGCAACATGGAAACACATCGAATTATATGTGGTTATATATAATTGACTGGTGATTCATATATCCGCCGACCCCACACCGTGGGGTGAGGCGTGACTGTCGATGTTAGCCTTAGCCTTAAGCCTTAGCCTTAGCCTTAGCCTTAGACCTTAGACCTAGTCCTTAGCCTTAGACCTAGACCTTACCTCCCCTACCCCTCCGGACCCTTGTTGGAGTGACGAAATCCGGTCGAATTTCGCCAGGAAAGCGACCTGGATTGTCCAAGAATCTGCCATCCCAATTGATTTACATCTTGGGGCACCCTCTCGACCCGC